TACAAACACGCTGCTGACTGCCAGGGGCTGCTGACTGCCAGGGGCTGCAAACCGGGAGTGGCTGGTGGGGATTTCTTTGATTGGCGGCTCCAAGGAAGAGCCCAGAAAGCGGGGCAAGCACGTCTGGGGCACAGGCGAGATAATTAGTTGCGAAGGCGCCTAGGCCGCCGCAACAGGTGCACCTGCAAGAGGGAAAATGCCCCTCATTGGGATGCGAGCGACCCGAGACGGAGACGCAAGCACGCAAGCACCAGACTGGAGCAAACGGAGAGAAGACGCACAGTGGCGCCGGCTCAAACCGAACAGCCCAAAGAGCGCAGGCTAGGGCCGACCAGCCAAGAGGCGGGACAGTGGGCACGTGGGGCCGCGCCGCTCACCACTACGAGGCGAGAGAGCGGGGAAAGCGCGGGCAGAAGAAGGGTGGCCGGGAAAGCCTCACTCACTTGGACTCCTGGGCGCGATCCGACGTGAGGCATCGACCAATGCGCCGACGATGATGCAGCCGCTGAGTCCGAACCTAGACTGCCTGACCCGGAGTGTCGGGGGAACGGCAGCAGGCGTGGCCTAGAACCATGGTCCAACCCGTAGTTGAGCATGAGTGCTGTCAAAGGATGAACCACTTGTGCAGTATCAGGAGCACGATGGTGGCTCCCGCCCAGAGTTGTACCACGTCGCAGGCGAACAACGCAGGCAGCTCATCCATCACGGCGGACGGGGGAACCAAGCGGCGTGCGTCAATCGGGGGCCGTGGTGGGCCAGAAGGGGGAATGTCGACAGTCGAGCAAAGGGTGTACCACTTGCCGCACCGCACTCACCCCAGGTCCGGCCCCCGGCGGTGCCGGGGCAGGCAGAGGCCCGAGTTGTGAGAACAACACAAGGCGGCAGCGAGGCCCGATCTCACCTCGGAGCTCTGCGAGAGGGCCGCCAGGTGGTGCATGGACCCAAGTGCTCCAAGAGCCTCGGCATGGGGGGGCATCGTGCGTGGCCGAAACCGCAAAAGGAGGAGAGGGCGGGTGAGGAGACGCAGCCGAAAGCCGCAAACTCAGGTGAGCGCAAGGAGGCGGGGGAGGCGACGCCATGGTAGGTGCGAGACCTTGGCCACTGTGATCACTCAGCGCGAAGCGGTGGGACCTCGGTCACGGGGGGAACAGGGCGCCTGCCCATGCTGGGGAGCGCAGCGCCCCAGCTGCTGCAGCGTCGCCGGGGGGGGGGCACGCGAGGTGCGACGCGTCGGAGCAAGGTGGGGCCCGTGGGGTGGGCCTATGGCCACCAACCCCAGCGTCCAAGGCAGGTGTCCCAGGGGGGCAAAGTTGACGCCCCAGCGGTGCACAGGGGGGGGGGGGGTATTTCAGCCACCACCCGCCGTGCGAAGGGTGCCACGAGACCAGCGTGGGCTGCTCAGTGCACAGCGCAGGGGCATTGGTGCACCTCAGTCCCAAACGAGGTGGCACAGGGCATGAAAGCCGAGGCCTGGCGCTGCGGTGAAACCAGCCCCTGCCCGGGCGGGGGGCGCCCACGAGGGGGGCAGGACAGTGGGGGCAAACACGCCTTGTCCTCAGTCCTTCTCCCCTGCGTCGCTGTGCGCAGCAAAGGGCCGGTTGAGGGCCATGGGGCCGCCGACCCATCACTTGGGGCCAATGCCCCACCCGCGCTGACGCTTGTCCGCGTAGTGGGCATCTCCTCTGGGGGGGGACCGCTCCCCCCTGGCCTTCCAGTCTGCGTCGGTCCAAGTGTCTCGCTGGTGCTCCCACGCGCCCCAGGACTGCCAAGAACGCCAGGGGGCTGCAGATCCAGATGCACCTGTCCGCGCGGCTCTGCCCTCGGAGGCCCACGGGGGGCTCTTTGCAGCCTCTTGGCCCTCATCGGCCCACAGGCGTTTGCCTCCGCTTCCGATGGGGGGGGGTCCACTGCGCGTGCTCTGTTGTCGCGTTGCGAGTGCTTGCGCTGCTTCTCCGCGATGCTTGGCCAGTCGACGTGGAGCTGGTATTCAATGTCCATTTTGTCGGCGTCGCACCACACTTTGCCCCGTGCCTGGAAGAAGTCGTCGCACTGATGTGGCGTGTTCCGCCAGGGGTCAGACTTGATGTTGACCCAGGAGCTCCCTGGCTTGTGGGCCGCCTTTTCTGACCCAGGCGCTCCACACCCCATTGAAAGCACCGCCCCCCCCCCCCCCCCCCCCCCCCCCCAGCATCCTCTGCATTCGCGTGATCTTTTTCTGGTGCAGGCTCGTCTCTTGTGACGTCTGCATCGCCGATGGGCCTCAGGTACATGGGGAGGCCACCCATGGGGTCGTCTCGGCGCGCAGGTGGGATTGCCGCTGTCCGTGCGTCGTGCCGCCACCCCTGTGAGCTGTGGTGCTGTCTGGGTGAGCTGTGGGGTGGTGTGGCTGAGCGTTCTCTGCGGCGTTCTTCGGCGATTGTGGGCGGTCGGCGGCTTGCTTCGCCCAACGATTGTCTGAGTGACCGGCCGTCACCGATACGAACGTTCCAGGTTCGTTCCTCACTAGGGGGGGGGCTTCGCCCCTCCTCCATGTGTCGCGCGGTGCTCCTCGATCTGACGCCCGCTCAAATGGGGATCAGGCTTCGGACTGAATCCTGTGAAGGGGGCTGGGTCCATATGGGGGGTGGACCTTGGGCCGCCGTCGGATAGGCGTGGGCTGGTCTGTCTGCGTCGCCAGCCTGGTGTGCAGAGCCGTCCTGTTGTTCTGGGTCGGGGGAACTTGGCGGGCTGTCGTCCGTCTCGGACTTCTTGTTGGCGTCGTCATCCCAGTCAGCGCCTTCCACGTTGCCGTCGCCGTTCGGGTGCTCTGGTGAGGAAGGCACCTCTTCGGGGGGCCCATCGGGTAGGTCAGGCGCGTCGGGTTGCTGGGGGGAGGCGCTGGCGCCGGCCAAGGTGGCGTCGTGATCCTCCGCGCGTTGGTCGGTCGCGGGCAGTTCCGCCCTCTCCTTGGGCCTGTTGGGCCAGCTGGCATCAGGCGACTCCTCTTCTGATCCTCTGGATGTCGCGTCCTGGGGTTGGGCGGCGAGGAGTTCAATTGTCCCTCTGGTTAGATCCTTCCCCAGCTCCGTGAGGAACTGCGTGAGGACGTGCACCAGCTGAAGGTAGGGGTACTGTCCTTTCTGGTTGTCAAGGTTGCTGGCGTAGTGCTCCCATTCCTTCTTGTACTTTGGGTTGCTGTCCATCAGGCGTGTGACAACCCTGGCCGCGGCAGCCCTCTTTCCGTCCCATGGGATGTGTGGGGGATGGCCATTGCTGCGGATCTCCTCTCCGTAGATTGAGTCCAGGAAGGGCAGCAATTGCTCGAAAGGCCATCCCGTTTCGTCGGTCACGTCGCCCACTATATCCTTCCCCAGTCGCTGCACACAGGCCTCCCAGAAGGTGTAGGATGCGTGGCTCCACTCAATCAGGTACCTCAATAGAGCGCGAACGGGGGCTCTCGACTCCTCCCCAGCCAGCCGGTTGGTGGAGTATGTAGGCAGTTGGGGTCCAGGGGGTGGCGGCTGGTTGGGGAAGAAGTAGGGGGTGGTGGCTCCGTCGGCTGAACCTTTTTGTTCGTGGGCAGCGGGGGGCTGTGCTGACTGATCGTTGCCTGGTGGGACCAGTTTGCCAGTGCTTGTGCCCGAGGCCCGGCTGGCTGGGGAAAGGTGTGCCGTCATGTCGTAGCTGCACCAGTCCTCGGGAATGTCGGTTGTGGCCTGTCGCACAGTGGGGGTGGCTGGGTATACCTCGTCGGAGTAGCGGTCGAGTACTTGGTCGAGGACGCCCGGGGCAATGTTCCAGATGTGAACAAGGCACCTCCTACAGGCCCATGTTACGTTCCACTTCCGTGTGACCCGTAAGAAGGGCATTGCGTCCCACGACGGGAGTCCTGTCAGCTCGTTGCAATTGGCGTCCGCCTCTGGGCGCCATATGAAGCATCCCAGGGCTGGATGGCCGGGCATCCATTCAAGCACGGGGGAACCGGGGGGGCAGGTGTCGCACGTGGCCGAGTACATTTGGGTGTGGTGCGTTTCTGCCCAAACCTGCCGTCGGTGAGCCTGTGTGGTGGGAGGGTGGTGCCCGCGCAGGCTGGCTGGAAGGGGCGCGGAACCCGCATGACGAGGTCACTCAGGGATGTAGGGACCGAGGCCTCGTTAGGCCGTCCGAACCCCAGCGGGAGGTTGGACAGTGAGGGGAGGGTCCGAGCTCTCTTGCGCGCTCGTTCGTCGCCCATTTTGCGCTTGTGCTCCTGCAGCCGCTGCTGCATGGCCTTCTTGTTACCGCCTTCAGCCAGGTTGGGGTCCGGAACGTGGATTCCCTTGCTCTCCAGGGAGCTGACCCAACACATCTCACAGAGCCATCTGCAGCTCTTACCCTTCATGTACGCCTGCGCGCGGTTCTGGGCGAGCAGCTCACGGGTGTCATCATCTTCCCAGGTGCTGGCTGCTCCCTGTAGTCCTGTGCTGGTGCAGCCGTCGCAGTTGTATCTGGCGTCCTTTTGCAGCCTGCAGAACCGCTCGTCCCGTACTGCTGGGGGGGAAAGTGTTATGCCAGGGGCTGGTGAGGCCGGGAGGTCTTCGTCGAAGCGGCGGTTAGACATGGCGACCCCGCCTCCTATGTACTTCAGGTCCGACATGCCGCGGACTGCCTAGCCCCTCCTCTGATCCCGTCAACGCGAAGCGTCAACAACTTCGGAGTACCCAGCGGCCCTCGTTTCTGCAGCCTGTGGAGCATTGGAAAGTCTGGGAGATCCTGGAAATATTGGAACGCATCGCCACCATGACCTCCCTGCTACTCTTAGGTCGGGCATGTCCCCCTACAGGCGGAGCTTGGGCGAAAGATAAAAAAGTCCAAAAACCTACAAACTTGTCCAATTGTTTTAATCGTCCCCTGACTATTACTGATATTATGGTTGAATAGTTATTCCTCCTGTAGGGGGACGTGCCCGACCTGACACTACTCTGGTGCAGCGCGGGCGCAGCGGCGGCGGCCGAGGCAGCGCGGGAGCGGGCGCGGCAGGCCTTCGAGAGCTCCAGCCGCGCGGCGTCGTCTGCCGCCCCCTGCCGGGAGCCCAGGCGCACGCAGGAGCGGCAGCTCGGGCGCAGATCAGCTCTGACGGGCTGATTTTCCACCACCACCACTACCATAGAAGAGGGAGTGAGGAGGAGGAGGAGGAGGAGGAGGACCTCCCCATCTTCCCTTCTCCCCCATGCTACCTACGGTAGTGGCGGTGGAAATTGGCCCAGCAAGCTCTGCTCGGCACACACCTGGCTCAGCCCATTTCAAGAACTGGCTCCGCCAATCTGTGAGGGGAGGCAGAGCGGGGCCTTTCCCAAAGCCGGCCCGGCCAATGTGTAAGGCCACCTCCACGGCCGCGAGCAGCTCTCGACAGGGCTCGACCTAAACGGTGATATCCGTTTTCGTGTTGTTTTCCCCTCGTGTTGTCTTCGTTCCCCCTTTGCTGCAAGACGAAATGAAAACGAAAGCAGTCCGCGAATTCGCTAGAACACCGTTTAGGTCGAGCCCTGGATCCCAAACCCGGCTCAGCCAGCGGGATCCTGCAGGATCTGGCGCTCTGGCTGAGCCCCGTTTGCGCTGAACCCCCGTGACCTGCCCACTGAGACAGCCCACCACCCGCCTAGGCTGGTCCCTCGGCGGGCTCCTCTACGCAATCCTGCAGGATCTCGGGGTAACCACAATGTGCCGATACCGCTACTCCCCGGACCTCTCCTGGAGAGCGTTCTGACCAAGATTTCGAAGTGAATCCAACGGTGGCGACGAGGGCCTCCCAGGAAGCCGACAAAGGGGAAAACGGGGCGAGGGTAGCGTAATGGGTGCCTCTTCCTCCTGAGAAGGATCTGGCGCTCTGGCTAAGACCCGTTTGCGCTGAAACCCCGTGACCTGCCCGCTGAGACAGCCGACCGCCCACCTGCGCAATCCTGCAGACCGACGGCGACGACGACGATGACCATAAGCACGAGGACGACGACGGCGACGACAACGACGGCGACGACGACGACGGCGACGACGGCGACGACGACGGCGACGACGACGGCGACGGCGACGACGACGACGACGACGACGGCGACGGCGACGACGACGACGACGGCAAACCCTCATGACCTGCCCGGTAATAACGATAATGCGAATAATAGTATTATATATAATACGGGACATGTTTATATACACATATATATACATAGAGGCCAAAACGGCATACAGTGGAGGCCAGTCCACAAGAAGCCCAACCCTGAGACCCCAGGACGCCCATTGGTTTTTGGTGTGGGAACGCCACGCTCTCCACAGCAAACGGATCGAAACCCAAGAAACCCAGGGCACCCTTGAGGCGAACAGGGTGTTTCCTGGCATCGGTTTCCAATGTAAACATGAACTTGTGGCGCTCGCGCGGACATCTTGGATCTGCGCTGGACCCTGGACCACCCTCCCTGGCGCGCGGAGCGCGCCAAGGAGGCGCCGGGGGCGCCGCTGGGGGGGCCCGGCGCAGATCCGAGAGATCCGCGCAGAGCGCAAACAAACAATGTTCACGGCGTTTTTGTTCTTCTTCGCCTACTCACCCCGGTCAATCCAGACCCGGGTCAGGCTCCTGAACCCCAGCCCGGCTCAGCAGGATCCTGCAAGACTCTGCAGGATCCTGCAAGGCCCGGCGCCCTGAGTGGCCCCCGCTGACACCGACCCCCACGTCTTGAGCCCCGAGAGCCGCGAAGCGGGCCCCGGCTGCGGCGACAGCGACCGCCGAGATGTCCTGCGGCCGACTGGAGCTCTGGGCCGGCCCTCGTCCGCAGCACCGCCCCCCCGCTCCTGGGGTGCTGTCTGACCCCCATTAGATCCGACGCCGTGATCTGTTCAATACAAACCCCCGGAAGCCTCGACCCAATCCCCAGGACCCGCTCTTCATCCTGAGTCGTTTTTTGTTGCGAAGGCCCCGAGGCCCAGCAAGGGCCCCTGGAGGACGAAAACAGCGATAAAAAACTGCGTCGTGGTTTCTTCAGGACGTTGGATGGATCTCTGGGTCAGAAACTCGGCGGTGGACAAACCTCCCTTTAGCAAACATCCCCTTAGTGGAAACGGCCTGGGACCGAAACCGACGGATCTGGACCCGCAAACATGACGGCCGCGACGCCCTCCCGCGAACCGAAAACGGCCAGTTACTCAATCGACGCGTCGGGGCAGGAGGCCCGTCCACCCCCAAGGAACTCGACAGGAATCCAGCCGTGGCCACGAGGGCCAACGCTGCACACCGAAGAGCCCACCCTCGGGGGGACCGCGCGAGCTCCGACACGGACGGGCACGGCCAGGACCGGCGCAGGCGCACACACGGAGGGCGCCCCTGCTGCGACGGCGCCGGCGCTGCTTTCCGGCGCCCGCGTGGACCGCGCCCGAAATGGGCACGGAAAGAATGGGCACATTGCCCGACAACAAATGTTGTCCCAAACCAACAGCGGCCGCTGTTGGGCAGGCGGCCTTCTGTCTTGAATGGGCACAGGCCGCGGCGGCGTGGGCAACAAGTCCTGCTCAAAATGAACAGGAACTGCACTTGGACATTGTACCCATTCTTTCCGTACCCACGTCGGGCGTCCAGAGTAGTGGACGTCGGCAAACTAGATCCGCAACCTCGGGAAAAAGATTGGCTCTGAGGGTTGGCTATAGGGGTCCTTGGATTGAGGTTCGAGCTGGGCAGAAACTGCTTGACGCCTTCTGGTAAATGGTGGATTCGCGCAAGGCGAGAATTGCCGTTCAAGGCCCGCAGCGAACCGCGCAGAACGGCCTCCGCTGCCGAGGCTGCCGTCCACGCCAGTTATTGGGAGTCCCCAAACGTAGTGGTGACAACACCCGGCAATGAGTCTCGGGCGACTTGGTGTCACCGCCCGGCTTGAGGACACGTCTGCTTCTTCGAGGATGCCCCGAACGCTGGTGGGTCCAGGAGACACACAACTTGGCGGTGACCCCGTGTGCCAAAACCCGGCGGTGACTTCTTGAGGACTCCAGGTTGCCACCTGAGAGAACTGCGTGTTTTTGAGTCGGACCCCGATTAAAAAGCACACACAGTCCTAAGTTAAGCCAGGTCCGTTTTTCCATACCATCCTGTGGTGTTGGGTCCTCGTTTTGAAGAGACGGCGCCCCGCGTCACTCACTCACTCCTCCTCCCCCTCCTCCCTCCTCCTCCTCCTCCCCCTCCTCCCTCCTCCCTGCGTTTCCCCCACCCAGTACAGCGCTTCGTGGCACCATAGGAGCTCCACCGAAGGCCACAGTGCCATCACCCGCATGCGTCACGCACACCCATTTCGGCACACCCCTCACACGTTTCCTGGCCCCACAGGGAGCTCCACCGAAGGCCCCAGTGCCACCGCCCGCGTGCGTCACCCACACCCATTTCGGCACACCCCTCACACGCTTCGTGACCCAATAGGGAGCTCCACCGAAGGCCAGTGTGCCACCGCCCGCATGCGTCACCCACACCCATTTCGGCACAGTCCTCACACGTTTCGTGGCCCCATAGGGAGCTCTACCGAAGGCGCCAGTAGCTGTGTTCGCATGCGCCCACAGCACCCGTTTCGGCACACCCATGAAAGGTTTCGCAGCCCCACAGGGAGCTCCACAAACGGCCCCAGTGGATGCGTTCGCATGAGCCCACCGCACCCATTTCGGCACACCTCTCACGCGTTTCATGGCCCCATCGGGAATTCCACCGACGTCCCCAATGGCTGCTTTCGTATGCGCCCACCGGACAAATTTTGGCACACACCCCTCACACGTTTCGTGGCCATTGGAGTTCCTCCGGATACGGTGCATACAACGACGGTACTCACAATTGCATATGGTTGTGTCCTTCGCCAGGCTGATCAAGCCAGATCCGGCTTCAAAAACAAGCAGTTTCCCAAGCCGGATCCGACTCCAAAAACACGCAATGTGTTAAGCCGGATCCGGCTTCAAAAACACGCAGATCCCCTGAGATCCGATGTCGTGATTCTTGTTCAATACGAGGTCCCTGGAAGTCTCGACCCAATCCCCAGGACCAGCTTCTCATCCTGAGTCGTTGTCTGACTGTCCCGAGGCCCGGTAAGGGCCCCCAGATGCCGAAGACAGCGAAAAACCTCCGTCGTGATTTGCGTCAACACGTTGGACCTCCAGGTCTCTCACCGCCTGGCCTGGGGGGCTGCCAGGAGCTCGCGCCGCGGCGCCTCCTCCCCGCGGGCCCCCGGGGGCCCCGAAGGCAGGCCTGCCGAGGGGGGTGCGTTCGGCACGGGGCGGCGCGGGCCTGCCGTGGAGAGAAGGGCACGGAGGGAGGCGACAGGTCTTTGATTCGCGGGTCGAGATTACCAGCCTCGAGCGTATCCCTATCCCTAAGATCGACACGCCAAAAGGCGATGACAATCTTAGGGATTCGCCCTCAAAAAATAAGGGAATCCCTAAGATCGGCATCGTGATGAGGAGGTGCCCATCATAGGGATAGGGATATGTTCCAGGCTGGTAAGCATGGAGGGAGGCGAGAGGTATTTGATTCGCGGGTCGAGAGCGCAGCTCTTCCGGTCGAAGCCAAGCGGGCCGCGCGAAGCTTGAATTCACAAAGGGGGGGGGCAGAAGGAGCGCGGCCTCACGGCAAGGCCGGGAGGAGGCAGAGCCTCGGGATGGAGGGAGGCGGCAGGAGAGGATAGGACAGGATGGGGTAGAACCCGGCCTGGCGCGTGTGGGGGGTGATATGCAGCGATACACACCGCGTGATACGCGTGCAGCTACTACCTCGAACGATCGCATATCTGCTGTACGAGGTTACAGGTAGCTCGCGCCGTGCAGCACCCATCAAGGTTCCGAGAGGCTGCTGGCAAGATGATGTGTCACTCGCGAGCTGGGGGGAACGCCCCGCTGGCCCCTGGAGGCCGATGCCTCACGGCACGAGGAGGCAAAAAGAAACAAAAAGAACGAGGATGGGAACCGGAGGATGAGGAAGGAACTGAGGGCCCCATGAGGGTTGGAGCGGAGGGGAGGGCGGAGGCGGAGGCGGGGGAGGAGGGAGCGAGGGAGGGAAGAGGGCCATCGTCGA